CCGTAACTAACAGGAGGAAACCTTTAGCATTTAAATGGTACCAGGTCTTAGGTGGAAATTGTTTTCAGCAAGATCAGGGATGTGTATTTCACCGTCTAGTTAAATTATGCACCCCTGATTTTGCAGACATCACGTCGAATTGGCTGCATATCGGTTGCTGCGGGGTGTGGTTAGTACGATCCCTCATTCTCCTTTCTTGTAAAGAGTGCGTGTAAAGGGGTTTTTTTTCAAAAAATCAGTTATGTTTTCAAAGTCTTACATACTACTGACAGCTTTTGATCGCATCCTTTGAAAACTTTTATGTTTAAAATATTTTCAAAAAACTGTTATATCCAGCCAAAATTTTCCCAGTCACTTCTCTAACACATTTTTGATGCGCTAATAACTTCACAAACTGCTGGCTTATACGAGTTATTATCAACACAAATTATGAGCAGTGGAATTCTGTAGCCAAACTGATTGGCACTGGGTGAATTTTTTGGTGGCTGTGTAATGTTCGGTCTGTTCTTTTAATGTCGCAAGTAATGTGTGACGCCAACTGTCAGTGTAATTTGGGGCAGCTCCTCACCACTGGAATGACCATGCCTCGACGATTCGTCAGGAGGCTCGACATACATCACCTGATGCTAACGTACCTGCAGCTCTGACCTCCAACCAGTTCTTGAAAGGCGGGACCGTTTTCTTTCTGAACTTGTGAGTGCTGTGCTGGAACTGAAAAAAATGCCTCCGGCGTTCCTAAAAAGAAACAGATAGAGTTCCTAGGGTGAAACAGTTTGAGTTTTTTGATGGAACGGGGATAATTAAGCTTAACTTATTTTACTCCTGAGAAATTCCAGAAACTACGGATGTGCTGCAGTGGGCAATGCGCACTAACGGAAGCCCATGGCCAGTGAGGGAAACCAGCGCCCCTATAATTCGTTTTTCGTTTCCACAATAAATCAGTACTGACTTGCATGAAAGATCGGAATCATCATCAGCTTGCTTTCAAGCAGAAAAAAAGTCACCATCAGTCTTGCCAATGGGTAGTTGTGTGTTTGTGATGTGCGGACTTTCATCTGTTATGGGGTGGAGTGTGGAAGAGATTTTAGTTGTTAATTTCTTCAAGCAGTGCACATTAGTTGCGTCGAAATGACTCATCTCTCCCTGATTTTTTTCTCCGTATTACTGTTTTCTATATACCAAGGAATGCTACTTAATGAGTAATCACTGGAAGTCTGTCTCGCCGCTTTAAATTCTTTTTTGAATTGCACGTCCATAAATACTATAAAATTTCACTTTGTGAACAGAAGTTAAAAAGCATATTCTTTTTTCTACCATCTTTTAAGAATGTTTGTTTAGCGGATTTTATCGATCCCACCTTGTTCTGCCTTTGCTCGATTTTGCGTGTCAGTTGTTATCTGACTGGGATGCCTCTTGCTTTTACTTCTTTGCCTAAGCATTTCGAATACTCCTGGTTCTTGCATGCTTTCAAGGCACGTATTCAAATGTAAAGAATATTTTCAAAAAATGCGTATTTCGCAATGCAGCTTTTATGTTGCTCAGTGCACGTTTCCGGCTTTTCGAAGTTAATAACTAATTTGAAAAAATTTTACGGCTTATTTTTTGTTCGAAACCCCAACTGCTCTGCGATGACGTTGCAGGTCAGAATTTCCAGGAATGGCTACAGTGTTCAAAAAATTTGATTTGAATATCTAAAATAATCCGGAGGTTTATTTTTTCATGGAAAATTTTTCGTGGCTTCCGCAACTTTTCCGTTTGTTTTCAGTTCCAACATCTATTTATTTTGAATAGCAAATGAAGCTTTGTTGAAAATTTGTTCATTTGCAGGAGTTTTCGAGGCGTCGGGCCGGCGCGCTCAATTCCCGTCGTCAGTCGCACTAGACTTGCTGAAGAGCAACAAAACGGTACCCAGGACCGTTATCACTCGATGATGAATTCCAGTAACTCACGTACCGTCCCGGTGCAGTTGATCCGGAAAACTTCGGTTGATGATTTCAATGAAAAAATGATTGGAATGCTGGATGAAGTCGAAAAGCGGGTGGAGCAATTAAGGTTCAGTTTTGCATGACTGCTTTTAAGCATCGCACCAGTATGCATCCGGAATTTATTAACAAATAATCCTTGACTCTACCATCTCAATCGATTGTCTAGCTTTTCACAGCAGCTGCTTTGAGCAGAAAAAATATATCAGGCGAACAGCAGCTGATAATAACAATTGGATTAGAGGTGTAAAAAACCGAGAAATGCTTCATTTTTAGACTCGTTTTAAAACCTTTTCCTGGTTATTTTTTTAGTTACTTGCCTTAAAGTAGTTTTCTTGAAAAATCTCAGGGAATCTGCGGGGCAGCTGGAGCAAGAGAAGGAATCATTGATCGATATGCTTGGCAATGTGAATTTAAATTCCGAACTTCTCCGCCTAGGACAAGGTAATTCTGCTTTTATTCTCGAACTGCGCCGTACTGAACTGCGGTGAACAGCATACAGTAGTGCTGAGCACCACTGTATTGATTTGGAGGATATCTAAAGAATTTCTCAAAGTATTTTGAAAATTTTGCATTTTCAAACTTAGTTAACCACTGAAACAGCGTGAACAGCCTCTCCTCCCTGTATCTTCAAATGTGATGGTTTGCGAAGGCAAAAAGGGTTTCTGAAGCTGCGTTTTGCTTCTCTCATTATATAAAAAAATTCAGCAAACATGCAACAGTAGGATTTTGTGGAAAAATTTGGTTAATTTAAACTGTAATTTGAAACCAAGATTGAGTAGGCGTTTTTGCGCATTTATGTAAATAAGAAAATGCATACTGTAACGATCCAAGGTGAATGTATACGTGTGTTGTGCGTGTGTGTGCGTCTGTCTATGTTTGTCCGTAATTTCAGTTCGGCAACGAGGTAGGCTTTGATGGCAAAATTTTGCCGGTAAGTTTCCTGGCCAGGTGCTGTCCTAGGAACATGGCTTCAACTGTTTGGGTTTCTCCTATGGACAAGTAAAAGTTTTAGCAGGAAAACTACTAACTCGGAAAACGGAAAATTTGGAAATTCGATACTTTAAGGGGTATTCACTGTCCACGTATGACTTAAAGATTTCAAATTCAGTTCTTAAGCACATTTGATTCTCACGTACGGACACATGAAAGTTTCGGGAACCAGAAAAGCTAAAAAGCTGCAATTTCAAGAATATGCTGTCCGTCCTTGTGCGATGCAAAGTTCTCAAATTCAGTCCCTAAGTTGGCCCTATCCTCACATACGGTCACGAAAAATTTTTGGCAAGGAAACTGCTAACTCGGGAACCAGATTAGGGGGATATTCCTTGTCCATGTATGATCTGAAGACTTCAAATTCAGTTTCTAAGCAAGGTTGGTTCTCAAGCCGAAGAAACTTGCACATTTTTGTTGCGGGGAAGAGGGGCGGCGTCCATACGCGAAATCCAAGTGCGTGTGAGCGATGATTTTAAAATGGGAGGGTGACACATGGGGCGAGAATATGACCCCGAAATTTCAGCCTCCCAGTCTTACTGGTTGCTGAGTTGAAAGTGGGTGACGAATTCACTCGCTTCCGAATACACGCACACACACTCATGGTCGCTTCCTCGACAGTATGTGTTTTTGCTCACTGTAATAACGCTATAGCGTCGCACAGCAAAAATGCATATTGTTAAGAGTATTGTGTATATATGTATATATATAT